TCATGTACTATTTAAATATAAGTATATATGCTGCTATCTTGACCATACCCCTGTGTATGCTCCAACAAGGCCATTTTAGCGCACTGCGCGAATCCATACGTAAAGGTATAATTAACAAAATATTGTTACGAACACATAAATAAACTAGCGCCATCTAGCGTCAACCACTAAACCGCTCAACGAACAATGACAACATAAAACACCCTATTCAATACTAGATGGCGCTAGAGGAACTACTGTGGAACTATGGTCTCGAAAACCGGGTACATTCGCGAACTTTCCAGAATCACGATCATGTTCGTGCGTGTCGGGTACGTTCCAGGAAGGAACTTTCTGGATTAGTCTGGGGCTCGTCTCGGCCCATATAAAAAGCGGCAGGGAGGCGAGCGAGTATAGTTCAGTTTGAGCTACCTTCGAGACGACTTCGGAGTGAAAACTAGTGATCGAGAGCGATACCAGTGAAACCTACGACTTGGCTACAATCTAGGACATCGTTAGTGCTTAGTGATTGGACCTAGTGATTTGTGTTGGACCTAGCTCTAGTGAATAAAGTCTTCAAAAGAGTCAGCAGGTCTTTCTTTCCAAATCCTTCGAACCATAACACGTAACAACTGGTGTCAGAAGTGGGATTTGGAGATGCCATTGACTCCGAGAGAGGACTTCAAGGAGGGTGTCAGGACAAGGGCACGAGCTGCGGAGGCCACACCAACTGGGGACCAAGCCCCGCCCACTTTGGCACAGGCCCCGCCCACTCCGACCCAAGCCCCGCCCACTCTAGTGCAAACACCGCCCATTGACTCCACCCATCGGGCCACGCCCACTGGCCCCGCCCACCTTGCCCCGCCCACCAGCGTCACCGTAACTTCTGCAGCCCCTGAAGTGGCTCTTCAATTAGGAAGTTTAAATGAACTAATGGAGCTGCAAAGGGCTGAAATTCAAGCAATGAAGGAATCACACGAACGCAGGCTCGGCGCTTTGCAAGAGTCACAAGAACGCAAGCTCGGCGCTTTGCAAGAGTCACAAGAACGTAAGCTGACTACGATTCAAGAGTTTCAAAAGGCTGAAATCAGAGCGATTCGAGAATCACAAGAGCAACAAAAAGACCTCCAAGAAAAAGCGCTTTGGGCTATAAATGATGTTAGTAACACGGTGATTAAGCTTCGAAAAGATGTCGACGTAGTGGAAGAACGAGTTACCGGGTTAGGATTGGATGTTGAAAATGTGAAAACCGACCTCACTGAACTACAGAAGAAAGTAGTGCGCCTTGAAACCACGGGAGTCGCGATGTCTAGTGGCACAAGGAACAAGAGTGAAAGTGCTGTCATACGACGGCACTACTTCTTGGCACGCTTATCGTCGGCAATTCCAGACTGTTGCTACTGCCAACGAATGGACGCAAGAGCAATGCCTGACCGCTCTCACTGTTGCGCTCAGAGGGCAAGCTTTGTCGGTCCTGGAAGCACTGCCACATACAGGAAAGGGGTTCCGAGATCTGATGGAGGCACTTGAATCCTGATACGGGGAGCGACACCTGGAGCACGTGTTCCGTGCTCCACTGCGTGACAGAGTCCAACGCTCAGGAGAAGGACTACAACAATGGGCGTTGGAAATTGAAAAACTCGTCAGGAAGGCACATCCAGGAGTCGACGCCAAGATGGTAGACACGAATATTGTTCAAGCATTTGTGGACGGAATCAAAGACCTAGAGGTCAGAGCTGCAGTGAGGCTTCGTCACCATACCTCGCTAAAGGAAGCACTGGCGCATGCTTTAGAGGTCGAGGCGCCATGACATACGACCGACCCATGGCAGACCCATAAGATCCGCGAGGTCTCTGAGGTTAAGGCTCCTACAAAGAAAAGTTCTGGAGCCATGTGCTATAAGTGCGGCGAGAGGGGCCATCTTCAACTCAACTGCCCGCAGAAGGAGATCCAGATGGCAAGGATGAAATGGATCGAGGAACAAATAGAGGAGCTGAAGAAGCGAGAAGCTTCGTCCCCTGCCCGGGATCAGGGAAACTAATAAAAGCCAGTGCTAAGGGGCGAGTACTGGCTGACGCGGAGGAAGCCCCGATAACTGTTATCTCCCAGGCATGCAGCGGGAATAGTCTTGTGATCCAGGGTACTATTAACGGGACGGATTGCAAAATGACTCTAGACACAGGAGCCTCTAGAACAATAGTGAACCCAAATCTGGTAAAAGCCGCAAGGGGACTCAAGAGGAGAATTAACTGCCGGCTTCTTACTGCCTCCGGTCAGCCAATACCTGTCCTGGGAGAAATGTCAGTCACGATGTATGTAGGGGGATCCTCATACTCTCATAACGGCGTCGTGGCTGAGATTATGGATGATTGCACGGAGTTTTCAAGTGTGGTGAAGAAGAAATCTTCATTCTTGGAGGTGCCTGCGGGAAAGTCGCCTGTATAAAGAAAGTCATTATACCTGGACGAGCGGAAGCTCGGGTGCTGGTGAAACTGCCGCCAGATGGAAAGAAAAAGTTAAACAGATGCGTGTTGACCGAAGACACACCTACCAAGACATCGGCGCAAAAACTGATGACGGCGAGAACCCTTGTTAGTGGAAGCAGTAACGCTGTGGTCAAGGTTTTGAATCTTGGTGATCGCGAGGTCTGCTTGAACAAAGGTGACGTCATTGGAAAGTGCGAGGAAGTTGTCTGGGTGAAAAAGTGTAGTTCGACGACAGGCGCCGACCCAGCAAATAGCAACAACTACGGATTAGTGACTTAGCTACTCGATGACTGCAAGAGTAATCTGACTTATTCGCAGGGTATGAAAGCTAGGAAGTTTTTACAGCGCTACGCGAATATCTTCTCCAGTCAAGAAGAACATCGATGGTTCAGCACAGGATAGACACCGGAAGCGAGAGAACAATTCGTCAGCGAGCAAGACGGATATCAATTGCAAAAGAAAAAGAAGTCGAAGGCCTTTTGGAGGACATGAGAAGGAATGAGATCATTGAACCGTCTACAAGTCCGTGGTGCTCACCTGTTGTGTTAGTGAAGAAGAAAGATGGTAGCACGAGATTTTGTGTGGACTATAGGCGTCTCAATGATGTCATTAAGAAGGACAGTTACCCGTTACCTCGAATTGACGACACTTTGGATACCTTAAGTGGCATGAAATGGTTCTCGACCCTAGACCTGAAATCTGGATACTGGCAGGTGGAAATTCATCCAAAAGACAAGGAGAAGACAGCTTTCTCGACCGGTAAAGGTTTATGGCAATTTAACGTCATGCCCTTCGGATTGTGCAACGCACCTGCCACATTTGAGCGACTCATGGAGTGTGTACTCTCCAACTAAGCCTGCAAGGCTTAGTTGGAGAGGCTTGCTGAGTTTACTTAGATGACATCATCATTGTCGGCCGTGACTTCGAGGACCATTTGCGAAACTTGGAGCGAGTTTTCGCCAAAATAGAGGAAGCCAAATTAAAGTTGAACCCGAAAAAGTGTCGTTTATTCAGGAACAAGCTCAACTATCTCGGCCATGTTATCTCCAGTGATGGAATCCAGACAGACCCGGAGAAACTGGAAGCAGTTCAAAAATGGCCTACCCCTAAGGACCAAACCGAAGTCCGGGCATTCCTCGACATATGCTCATACTACAGGCGTTTTGTTAAGGGATTCTCAGAGATAGCCAAGCCATTACACCCGCTGACAAAAGATAAACGACCATTCAGTTGGGACTGGACTTGTGAAGATTCTTTTCAGAAACTGAAGAAACATCTGTGTGAAACACCAATCCTGGGGTATCCACAAACTGAAGGTCGGTTTATAGTCGACACGGATGCAAGCAACACGGCCATTGGAGGGGTGTTATCTCAAAAACAGGGTGAACAGGAAGAAGTTGTTATTGCATATTTCAGCAAATCTTTATCCAAGCCAGAGATGAACTACTGTGTGACAAGAAGAGAACTCTTAGCTGTTGTAAAGACGCTACAACATTTCAACAAATATCTCATCGTCAGACAGTTTTTACTGCGAACTGACCACGCAGCCTTGAAGTGGCTACTGCAATTCAAGAACCCGGAAGGTCAAGTAGCTCGATGGATTGAACAGCTCCAGGAGTATGACTTCAAGACGGAACATCGCAGCGGAAAGACACATTGGAATGCCGACGCACTCTCACGAAGGCCGTGTTCGGAAGACTGCAAACATTGTGTTAAACAGGAATCTAATGAAGTAACATTAAAGCCCACGAGGACAAGTCCTTTGGGTCTCTGGGAGAATGATGCTATGAGGGAGGCTCAAGAAAGAGATGACGAACTTGGGCACATCATCACATGGAAGAAACGGGGTGACGTAAAACCAATCTGGAGTGAGGTTGCACCCACTGGCGCTGTCACTAAATCGTACTGGGCGCACTGGGACAGTCTGATACTTCAAAACGGAATACTCTACCGAAGATGGGAGAAGACTAACGGCAGAGAATTCCATCTTCAGATAATTGTCCCAAGAACGAGAGTACCAGATGTTCTCCGTGAAATTCATGATGGCGTATCAGGAGGTCATCTAGGTGTCAAGAGGATGTTAACAAAAGTGCGAGAACGATTCTACTGGTTGCATTGTCGAGATGATGTACAAGATTGGTGCCGCAAATGTACTACTTGCGCTGCTGTAAAAGGACCACAGATCTTCTGGTCTGTGGTCATTTTACAACCGTCGAAACCTGCGGTTGTATAACGTCGGTGCACCGTGGGAACGAATAGCAGTTGACGTAGCTGGGCCATTTCCTTTAACGGAATCGGGAAACAAGTATTTTATGGTCGTCATGGACTACTTCACCATACGTAAAGGTATAATTAACAAAATATTGTTACGAACACATAAATAAACTAGCGCCATCTAGCGTCAACCACTAAACCGCTCAACGAACAAAGGCAACATAAAACCCCCTATTCAATACTAGTTGGCGCTAGAGGAACTACTGTGGAACTATAGTCTCGAAAACCGGGTACATTCGCGAACTTTCCAGAATCACGATCATGTTCGTGCGTGTCGGGTACGTTCCAGGAAGGAACTTTCTGGATTAGTCTGGGGCTCGTCTCGGCCCATATAAAAAGCCGCAGGGAGGCGAGCGAGTACAGTTCAGTTTGAGCTACTTTCGAGGCGACTTCGGAGTGAAAACTAGTGATCGAGAGCGATACCAGTGAACCCTACGACTTGGCTACAACCTAGGACATCGTTAGTGCTTAGTGATTGGACCTAGTGCTTTGTGTTGGACCTAGCGCTAGTGCATAAAGTCTTTAAAAGATACAGCAGCTCTTTCTCTCCAAATCCTTCGAACCCTAACACGTAACAATATTTTAATGATATTATTATACATTATCGTCACAACGAAATATATACTATTTTGTAACACAATATAGGTTCGAGTGGAATATTTAAGATCAGTGTAAATGTAGCAAACTATATCATTTTGTAAAGTTTTTCTAAGCGTCTTGTTTCATTTTAACTAATTGTGTGATTCTTGTTTATTACCAGTGTTACAGCAAAAAAAAGCTTTTTTAACATTAAAATGTTTAATGAGTTAATTTAATGTCAATTTTTTTATCGTATAACAGTAGTTAAGTAATTTTTTTGTTAATAACAGTAGTTAAGTAACATTTTAATTATCCAATATTTACAACATTAACTCCCGCTTTCTGAAATACTCATGGTAGACGTCAAGTAATTAGCTGTCAATTGGTTTTAAAATGTTTTTATTGTCGTGGGGCCACGCAGCAGCCTCGGCTGTTGCACGAATGGGCAAGCTTGTCCGGGTAAATACCACGAACTCACAGAAGACCATCGTAAAGTGGAAGTATGACAAATACTTTCGCGTTTCGTCTGGTGAGTGAGGTAGCCGGAGCCCAATTTTCAAAAGGTTGTCAACGCTTCTGTAATCCTCGGGTGTAGCAGATGTCCATGGGCGGCGGTAATCACTTACCATCAGGTGAACCGTCTGCTCGTTTGGCAACTTTTCACATATATTTGTGTTGCCAAAAGGATTGTTAAACTCTCTGAATTGATTAGAATGATCTTCTTAATGATCAGAATGATCACAGCTGTTTAGTTGACTTGTACGATTTTTCAGAAACCGGGCGTAAATCTATCAATTTTAAATCTAATAAACTTAGTCCTAGTTATCGTAATTAAAGTTTTCAGTAAAATATGTAAGGTAATTCAAATGCTTTGCGCAACGTGCGAAATGTAAAATGTGATACGTCTTTCTAATAAAAAATACTGAAATATTAAAATAAACAGGTTGTCGTTAGCCCTTTTGTAAGAAATTGTTTCAGTGTGCGTTTGTCAAAAATTAAAGTGCATATGTTGTGTCGCTGTTGCTGTACTTTGATTCTTTGTTGGTTCGTAGGAAAGTGCAGGCACAACGAAAATTCGCACAGGGTGCGTACATACCGCCGGCTAATAACAACAACGATCGTAAAATAGACCAAACCCCACAGAAGGATACCGCGGAGCTACGCAACAGAAATATCTTTCACAGCAGTTCTTCTGCGAAACAATTACTTGACGTCGTCAGCTTGCAAAGTATGAAATCATTGTTTTTTTTTTTAATAATGACAGTGGAAGTTCACAATTTTCTTAAGAATTATGATATATAGTTTCAATATCATTGATAATATAATTAAAACTCTACTTGAAAACTTCCCGTGTAGAAAAATATTTTATACCGAAACAGGCAAGAGATGGGGCGAAAACTGATTTTGCTTAATTTTTTAGATCTCCATTCACACATAGATCCTTTTGTGCTGCTAGAGAGACTGAACCTTGGCACAGAAGCACCTCGTGATTCCCCTAAATCAAAAACTATGCAATCTGAACCACGCATGACAATGAGAAAGAGACGATCCAGGTACTCATCTCCGTTAAAAACAAATAGTCACGGCATGCGCCTACGATCGTCGACCCGCTCGCCTTCCAAGCTGAAGTATACCTACGAATTTTGCACGGAGGATGAACAGCCTCTTACATATTTTACCAAGAATAGAAAAGGTCTCAAATCCCAGCCCAGTAACGACCCGGCCGGTAAATCAGACAAACAGGCCATCATTAATCCTGAAGGTAATAACGGTGGCAGCTACAATATCAACAACTATTTCTTTCATTACAATAAAACTGTTCTTTTTACACTTTCCCCATTTCACAGATCCTCTTGCTACCCCTTCACCATTCAAAAAATCTTCACTGAGCTCCGCTCCAGAACGATCTACGTTGAAGAATAGAGCTGGCCGACCCAAGAAAAAATCTCGTGTTTCCTCTGCCTCGAGATTTACTACGGCAGACAAAAGTAAGTCGAACATGTTAGAAATGAAATGATTGCTTTTCCTTTTCACTAGTATCACAAAATACTCAACAATGGCGGAAAATCACGAAGCTCGCGGCCTCAAATATACGTATTTATTATAGTACATATTATTACACAGCCCAGGCGAGTGCACTCCATACAAAAAAAAAGCTTTGCGTACCTTGTCATCTTATAGCCACGAGTTATATTAAAGTTCTCATTTACTGATGTTAAACTAACTATAATTAACTTAACTCGTGGCTTCCGTTGTTTATTGAGTTGCGCGCCATCTATTGCTGTTTTAGGTTAACATTTTAAAGCACTATTATTCGCGCTTTTTTTTCTTATAAAAACCGTCTTGTGAAGTCTCGTGTGGTAAAACGGCAAATGTTTGATTGCGTGAAAATGTATGCTTGCGCGTTTTTAAGGTGTAAAAGCGTGCATATTGCGAAGTCGCCTGATTATCTTTAAATTATTAACTAATAGAATGCCATTAATTCAGAGTTTTAATTACTATCGCCATTTCGTTTCAATTGTTTATTTTTGGCATAAGTAATAGTTCGGGTATTTTACTGTAAAAATGAAAAAAAAAAATACATCTGTGAGACTTGCTGGCGTTTGTTTTTATATAACAAAAACCTATTTAAATTGATTTTGAAAGAAACCTTTGTACCGGGGTTGGATTTAGCAAATAAAGATAAAGGTAAGTGTATTTTTATGGTAATTATATCTATCTATCAGTTGATTAATAAGTTTAATAAGCTTATTAATAAGTTTATTGGTTAGAAAAAAGTGAAAAACATACAATCATTAGAAGTCCTGCCTTTGATAGTTTAGATCTGTGTTACAGAATACAGTATCTTCCCCGCATAGGTAACACTCATTGCTATTGTACGAAAATGAAAATAAAATTATAAAATAATAACGAAGCAAATAAAAATTGTGTACACACCAAAGAATTGTAATGTATTCCTTGCATATATTAATAAAGTGCAAGTAACCTTTCCGTGCGTATTTTGTTACATATAACTAAAAGGAAGTATATAAAAAAGAGATACTAAGTATCGTAATTGTAACTTTGACTTAGTTCAAACAAAAAACTACAATTAAAATATCATTTTCTCTAAAAATGATTCTTATAGGCACATTCTGATTTTCAAATAATGTGTGTACATGGACATCTGTATTTGCTGGATATGGATCTGACATGTCTATAATATGGACATCACAAATCATTATAAAAAATATTTTTTTGGTGTTTATATGGACATCTGTATTTGCTGGATATGGATCTGACATGTCTATAATATGGACATCACAAATCATTATTAAAAATGTTTTTTTCTAAAATTATCTGATACTGTATTAGATAGAAATGTATGCACTATAACAAATTATATGTAAAAAATATATGTTTTATACCAATAAATGTCAATCCTACATGATTGACAACAAAATGTTTCAGAAATTAGCTTAAAATTGTATCTTAATGAGTTTTAAGGGAACAGCGTGTTATATTAAAAATACTTGATAATTTTTTATTACTATCACCAGTTCTAAGTTTTGTAAGGTATGTTGCTAAACAAGTTTTAACGCTAATTACGTAACCTACTTGAAAGTGTGTCGCCTACTTAAAAACGCACACGGCGAAGTCCTGCGGCTGCAGCTAACGTAATTCGCTTGTAAACAATGTAATAAACTCGGATGCCGTTAAGGCGCTTCAATAGTAGCCCATGTGGTTAGGCTTTCCATTAAATTTTAAAAATTTAATGAATTAAGAAATTTTAAGTATGTATTAGACCCTCGTTTATATGATAAGCAGTAACGCTACTAGTTAAATTATTCTTGTTTAATCTGGACTATTCAATTGGAATGTATTTCCAGACGTACTACTCGTGCATCATACCTTGAGTCCGATGACGTCACAGTACCGTGCTTGTACAGTATACAACACAAGTTTACAACTAGCAAAGCTAAGCAATTGCACCACCGGCGCAATTGCGGAGTTATTTTATATCATTATTCATTATTTTATATCATTGTTGATATTAAATCGTCATTTCCAAAACTTAAATTTTATTTAGTTTTTTTTATTTAAATTTTTTATGTAAAGTAACGTACAATGGCGGACTTAACACCATTAGGTGTTCTTTACAAGAGCGGCGCCTGAGATGGTATGGCCATGTCTCACGCCTGTCGGAAAACTATGTCGGAAGCATATGCTTTCATATACCTGTCCCAGAAACTAGACCCCCTGGACGACCATGGAAACGATGGCTGGATGTCGTGGAAAAGGACATGAGAGCCAATGGATAGACCCCTGCGGATGTCGAAGACCGGGCAAAGTGGAGGAGTAGAAGAAGAAAGACAAACCCTGGCAATAGCCGGGTTTAATGCCAGGTAGAAGATGAAGATAATTATTGAGGAGTTGGTCAAGCTTATTGAGAAGATCCTGATTTGCATCCGAGTAATAAACATCAGTATAATCAATTATCGGCAGCATCAATGTCTGTACCAGCAACAGTTTAGTGCACGAGGGGAGAAAAAGCATTTGATGAATTTTACGTTATTAAAAATTCATAAAGCTTATATTCATTAGCCATTTTAGTGTGACTTTTGCAATTATAGAATAAGATTACAAACAATATCGTACAATGCAATGATTTAAAAAGAAAATGAACCTTAATCTGCAAGCTTGGTGGGTTTAATCATATGCAAAAATGAAAAATCACTAAGTGGGATCGCATTATAGCATTTAATGAAACGCCCATTTACTACTATTGGTTGAATGGCAATGACATCGACTAGTTTTATTGACAACAGCATAATTAAATTTTCAAAAACGTGTTGTAGATTGCGTAAAAATAATGAATAACATTATCTGTTATAATAATGACCAACACGAGACGGAATGAGACGTTTGACGTCCTGATGTCAGTGCTATTCCCGGTACTGTTCGCATGAAAATTATTAATTTTATTGCACGTAGCAAATGTTATCGGCTCTGTATTTAATTTATTATCATTACTTTAAGACGCTGAATACAGTGATATTTTAGGTATTTGGGTGATGAAGCAAGGGAAGCGGAGGACGGGTAGTCGCGCTTGCTGCGGGGCGCACCGCACGAATTTCGTCGACGCGCGATGTTCATTCATGTATCTGTATTAGTGGTGAGCCGTGATGCTATCTATAGTGTCGCGGAAAGCTTTATAAAAATATACACAAATGTATATCATTAAGACGATGGTAGTATTTTACTTTTACATGTTTATAGTATGTAATAAAGAAACAAATAAAAGTATAATATTTTTTTATTAGAGAGTAATCAACAATTTAAAAACAATAAATAATTTTTCCTGTTAATAAAATAAAAAAAAAAATAGAAGAACATTAAAAAAGAAGATTAATCAAAAAATTATGTGTCTACTTATCTACGTAAGTAAGAAATTATAAGTCTTAACAAAAGCAACATAACTAAAAACTTTATACCTTGTGCCAGTACTCTTTGTTTATGAAAAAAACATTAAATGCAATTGATAACGATTTGACGAAACGACTTGAAATTATAGGTAAATATCAAAGTCGTTATTGGTTGCAATGGAAATACCATGAAGTTGGTAGCTTGGCAACTAGCACATCTTTAAATATTTAAGTGTTAACAGTCTTATAATTGCAAGGATATCTAATTATTTTAACTTTTTAATGAAATTAAGGTTAATAAGCCAATAAAAGATTAAATACCTAACATTATTATTTATTTTAAGCTTATTGGTAGTAAGACTATCACCGTTTCACTAACAAGAGCTGCCCAGAGAAGAACCAGCAAGAAACTTTGCGGACTCTATTTTTTATTCTTTCTTTTTTAAATTAGAAAAGTACAACTGTATAACATAAGGAAATAATTTGTAGATTCACTATTATAATATAAAAATTTTACCTTCCAATAAAATTTGTATCATGTTTCCTAAGACGTCCGAAGTCCATTATGAAAGAGTAAATCGTCTTATTTCCGCTGCAGGTCACAAAATTTTTCTACTTCTGTTTCCTAAACCGCGCCTACAGCGCCCTCTATAGTCCTTTCTGGAGCTAACTCACAGGCAAAGACAAGCCGCCGTATTTTGTCATTGTTCGGCTCATAATAATGGATGTAGCCCCATAAGACATTAAGGAAGACATTATCTGGACTTCGGACGTCTTAGGAAACATAATACAAATTTTATTGGAAGGTAAAATTTTTATATTATATGTTCCGATTGACGTCCGAAGTCCATTATGAGAGACGTGTTTGTTATCTCCTGGTGGCTTGTATTTGTAATAAAGTAATATTTATTTAAACGCAACAATGTGATTCATTATATTTAATTTATGCCAGGCATTAGGTACATAATTTAAAGTAATTTGTAACATATAATATTGCTTATTAAATTTACATCGACATAAATCAAATATTTCCCAATGAAATATTAAGATTTAGGTAGAAAATACTGAGACAGAGATTTCTCAGAAGTTATATCTGTATTAGATGCATTAATACTGTGATTATGATAGAACTTTCTAAAGGTATGCTCATGTTGCCAGTTACCTTTAGCTAAAATATCATTAATGCGGTAATTTTTTATCCAATTTTAAGATGATACCTCTGTCCTACAACTTCCGGCTGAGGCCTGAATACCAGAATCTGCTAAAAGAAGTTTTATCCAAGCGGATTAGTAAGGTCTTTTGTTGCTAAGAATAGATTACTAATATTTCCTCTAGTTTGCTGTGTCATATTCATTAGAGTGCCTAGCCAGTATACTGCATCGATTGATCGGTCAGTAAAAGTAAAAAGTAAAGTAACAGCCTATACATGTCCCATTGCTGGGCAAAGGCCTCCTCTATACAGAGGGTATCAGGGCATAGTCCACCACGCGGCCCCACTGCGGATTGGCGGACTTCACATATTTTCGAAATATATTTTTTTTTGTTATTATTTCGATAATATGCAGGTTTCCTCACGATGTTTTCCTTCACCGCGGAGCACGTGATAAGTCAGCACTTAAAGTTAAAAACTTCATTGGTGCCGGCACCGGGGATCGAACTCAGGTTGCTCGAGTATATTGAATTAAAGGCGAGCGCCCGGACACTGAGCTATCACGGCTCACAATCATCGATCGGTCAGGAGCAGTCGCAAATGTCCAACTTTATAGTTGATATGAAGATGAATCAGTTTTCGACCGAAATGGGTTGTTCCGAAATTTCGACCCGAAAATGACCCGGTGATAATAGCAAAATAGCAGCAGTGTGCCTGGATACTTGATAAACACTATTTAAATCTCTATTATAACTCAGAAGTGCAGGTTTAGCCCAGGAAATAGCTTTTAGTACATGTTTCACTATTGGGCACGACGCTATTTTTATTTCCGATATAGTTTCGCAAACGGATGCTATAACCGACTTATGAACTAGAATGGTTCGCTAGGAGAGACTATGAGATAATTACAAGCTTTTCTCGTGCGATGTCCATGTCCCTGTCAGCGTGTCCCACCCGAAATGAGCCAAGCAGTCTGCAATCTATACCTCCCAGGTATACATATAACACGCTGACAGGGTGCTCAGATCTCCGAGTTTCACAGGTCGTTTGAGAGCCCGTGTTTTCAGGTCTGGCCGCCAAAAAGGCTTCTTTCACTTGGGTGCCACTAGTATGTACCGACATGAGGCTGAGTTGAGGTGGCCTATCACCCTGGATATCAGACTGGGCGGAGGTAACAACCATGCCAGTCGGTAGTGCCAAGATCTGCTGAACGCGTCGTGGAAGCAGGCGTTCGAGTCTAGAGTAACATAGTTTGCTACCACGTGAGCGGTCCGAGACGCGAACAAGTCTATGTCTGGTGTCCCCAGAGGTTGAACAACCACGAGGTTGTTCAACCTCTGGGCGCGATTGCGCGAGAGGTGGTCGGCTTCGAGGTTGTACAGTCCCGGTAGGTGGTGAGGGAGATGTACAACATTGAGGTGGTCTGTTAGGGCCAGTCATTTTTGAGTCAGATATAGCAAATGTCGTGACCGGGTTCCTCCCTCGTTCTATGTAGGAAACTACTGTTTTGTCGCTCTGATGAATGACTGTCGAGTCTTGGAACAACATGGCTCTGGAGGATATGGCGGCTATCACTGCAAACATCTCCTTCAAATTGCAGTGCCATTTTCTCTGGTGGTGTTCCCATGACCCTTTCACCATTTCGGTGTTTACAAGGGCTCCCCATTGAATGTCCGACGCGTTGGTGATAACGTGGATCGTGACCATTCTCTGAGGATGAATTGGTGTCCTCTGACTGATGTTCTCTGACCACCAATCCAGCTCTGTATCTACCTCGTCCGGATACTGGTTTTGTGAGTGAGGATACTACTGATCTTGTTGCTGTGGTACTGCAGGACTCTGCAATGCAACCTTCCCCGGTGGGTGAGGGTGATGAAGGTCGCAAAGTTGAGGTGTTCTAAGAGACATTGCTCCTGCGTTAGGTTTCAACTGCCGGCCGCAAGTCGCACGAGCAAATTCTGACGAATTTTTTGTATTTTGTCCAATAAAAAGGACTTGCTGTTGGATTTGGTGTCCTATACAATTCCCAGAAAGTTTATTAATCTCGTCGGTGTCATAACCTATTTTTCCATTTCGACCATCTTTACTTGAGCTTCCAAAAACGTCTCTGTCCTGGTGTATCGGCAGATAATCGTCTAGATAGACCACTAGTCGCAGACCGTTCTTGCTAAGTATTTCGGCTGTTCAGTTTGTTACTGAAGCAAAAATCCTCGGTACTGCAGCTAAACCGAATGGCAGACAAGTCATCTGAAGTAAACGACCCTGATAACTGATCCGGAGAATCCTGTGCTGCTTTTTTATCGGTAGATGATAGTAGGCCTGGCTTAAATCCAGTTTGACCATCCAATCTCCCTGTTGTAAGAACTTGGGCACTTGGTGATGGTGGAAAAGATGAAAATGTGTCGGTTTCATGTATTGATTCAACGCCTTGAGATTGAATTGGTCCCGGGAATTATTAAAAGCGGAGATATGAGACGGTGTCTTGGGAGCGGGTTCTAAAACTCTCAATTGACTTAAATTCTGAATTTCGATCGACATTATTAACATTACGTTGTAATTTAATATTAAGTTACCCAACTTAATATTGAATTGCAGCGACTACAGGTGTTTCGATAGAGTCTTAGACACCGGCCTGAAAATCCGGTAGTCATTTATTTTTATTTCCCCACTTTCTTCCAGTTTTGTACTTGCGTACCCCTCCCCCCGTTTTCTTTGCCGAGGAGTTATTTGGATAGAAATGCTCTCCGTTTTCGGCCTGTTTAATTTTATTGGAATTTGGCCTAGCTCGAAATGGCTTTCCATCGGCAGTTGAAGTCGTAAGTTCGGCGATTTGGACCGAGTGCGGGTACCAGATAGTATCTGCTTTTGTAATTTATCTATACCACCAATTTTTTGTATATGTGCAGTTTGTTATCCGAGGTTAAACATAATCACAAGAAGGGGGTATTTCTAACACCTAAGCTCGCCTACCGCAAATTATATATGTTTAATTTTGTCTACACGTGTCTGAATTACTTTCGGAATTACTTTTTGAATGGATGTTGAACCTAGATTGGAACACTTTATTAATAGGTTGTTGTGGTATCTGTAAGTGTGAGGGCATTGCCGCCGGTTCACGACCAGTAATAGCATAATTAGAAGCTAAAATATTATTCACATTACTCACCAATTGTTGTGACAATAAATCAAACCTTTTATCCAGATCCCGCGACCAGTCACGCTTTCGGAGTTTCCTTGGTGGTTCCTCGTCTCTATATTCTGACGAATACTTGAAATATTTTCTTTAGGCGCGATAACCTCGTCACTCATTATTAAGCGTTTGAGGTATTAAGAAACTGAAGACAAACAACGCTTGTTTACAATAAACCAACTTTCTACTTTAAGTCTCAAAAGTTGATTATAACAACTAATAAAAGTATTAAAGTTTAACTTTTTACGACTGCATTGGTTGAAAAACGACGCAACAATGACAAAATACGGCGACTTGTCTTTGCCTGTGAGTTAGTTCCAGAAAGGAGTATAGAGGGCGCTGTAGGCGCGGTTTAGGAAACAGAAGTAGAAACATTTTGCGACCTGATCTCGGACGATGTACTCT